ACAAAAAGCTGTATTTTAAACCTAGATTCTAGTAATATGGTAGAGTTGTTTTAATGAAGTTCAATTGATTTTTTGATATAAAAGTTACAGCATGGTGTAACTTTTTGTTAAGCTACAAGATAAGCCATAACTCAATTTGCTATATTTTAAAAATTAATTAGAACTTTATTGGGATAATTCTACCACATCACTACTAGGTTCATTTAAGTTAATTAACTGCTAACACTTATTGCTTTGTTAAAGATTTCAACTAGGCAAAAGCATTTTAGCAACAAGCTATTACCGTTTAGCACTATATACAGTACCTGGTATGATATGATTTTTTACATAGTGAAAAATTAAAAATCATGTGTATAACTTAATTGTTTACATCACATGGTACATATAAATAATATTTTAAAAAATTGATCTATATTATTTGTCACACCAGGTACTGTATATAGTGCTAAACAGTATATTGCAAAAATTTGTATTGAGTTACAATTTGAATTATTTAAAAACTGTTTTTACATATTACTTTATTATAATTAAAAACTAGATATTTTTATTTATTTACTAGTAAAAAATAATAAATAAATAAATAATAATTTTAAAGAAAGTAAGAATGTTAATAAAGTAAAATTCAAAAAAAAATAAAACATAAATATTCTATAAGCATTAAATTGTCTAAGATAATACTTATATTTTAGCTAATTTTAATACTATTTGAATACCTTTTTTATAGTTCTTATACTATCCTGATAATATAATGTGAGATTATAATAATTGAGGATTAGAAGTATAAAGACTAACAATTATATGAAAAAATCTCAAATTTGTGATTAAGTATATACAATCTAATAAATATTTTAGACTACTATATAGAGATATTACTAGCTCATTTGGCTCTATTTATTAATAAGTTTTTATAATAGTTAAATATACAAGCTGGATTAAGCCAATAATATCTCTAATACTGTGTAGTGAAATATTTAGTAGGATTGATCTTATTCAAAAGGTTAAGTAATTAGCAATAGGTAGTTAGAGTAAGTAGTTGACAAATGGGTGTGTAGTTAACAAATAGATATGTAGTTAGCAAATTGGTAGATAGTTGAGTAATTAGTGAGCAGGAATTATATTTGGAATGTATTTTTAAAGTATGGGTAATTAGTAGGCAAATGGTGAAAAAAATCACAAATTGCAATATATTTTAGCAAAAAATCTCCACATTTACAAACATGATTTTTTACTAAGTAAGATGCAGATTATTTTATCTGGTTGACCTGCAAATCATCAATTACAGTAATTAATTTTTTTTAAATTCTTAATTAAAGTTGTAAAAATTTATCTTCTAATTCTAATTACACAAATTCTCTAATATAAAATTAGTCTATCTTAAGTTATATTACTTTAAATTTTAAAAAAATTGTATTTATTTTTTAATATAAACTTAAACCAATATTTATATAATAATTATTAGTAAAAATTTTAAACTTAAATTATTTCTTATATATTAGTTTAATTTCAAAGAAATTTTATATTTAAAATTAACAAACTTATCTTTAATAAAAAAAAATTTATAAATACAAATATCTTATAAAATAGATAGTAAATACTATATAAAATTAGGTTAAACTAAAATTTTTTAAGCAAACAAAAAACATATAAAATTTCAAAAAATATTTAAAGCTATTAAACTTTTTTATATAATTGTATAGATTTAAACTATATTAAAATAATATTTAATAAAGTAATTAACTTTAAAAATTAATAGTATCTACAATAAATAAGAATTTGAATTACTGTATTATTTCGGTTATGAATTTTATCTTGCCAGTATTTTTTGTATGTCTTCTAGAACATTCATTTGCTAACGTAATTCCATTACCGTTGTATTCCTCTTTGCATCGGACAGAATAGTATTTTTCAATTTTTCATCAGTTAGATTTATTAGTTGAAGCTGAACAATCGTTAATAGCATTCAAATTATTATTCGACATATTGGGAGTTCAGAATTAAGGATTCAACGTCCGATTTTAGATAAAATAAGTGATGTATTTATTATTATTTCAAAAGAAGCGACGTGCAAATTAAGTGCGTACTTATTTACATAATCGCTTACCGGTGAATGTTTATCAAAAAAAAGCCAATTTTATCACCGCTACGTCCATTAAATTTTCTGATTCGGAATTCTAAAAAAGAAAATAGGATCTTTTAAACTCCCACTTATTTTTGAAAAAGTTAGTTCTGAACCCCCCCCCCCCCCCTATTGAAATAAGAATTGTTAATTGTTTTGATGTTCTAATTTATAATATAGTAGTTTGACTTTTACGTAATTTGATCATAGGGAGTTTAATTTAAAACTATTTTTAACTACAGTTCAGGGCACAAAATTTCGGCATGTTGTAACCTGCTTTTTTTTTTAGTATACGAAATTTAGAAACTCCTGTGAAAATAATACAGTTGTATTATCTAGTTATTATTATATCTTAACTACGATATATAAAATCGGGGTTATCACGTGACAAACCCCAAAACATAGTAATACGTAGTGTTAATGTTTAGTCGGCATCACTAATTTATACTAAAGAATTTTTTTATAAATTTTGAAAATTAATACGAAGCGTTGCTCCGGAACCCATTTCCTAGTAATAAAATTTAAAACTTTAACAGTTACTAGGCTGCTTTAGATGCCAGAGATAGCCAGAGATAGCCAAACACGGCCTTTTAAGACTAGACTAAGTAGGATGAGACCTGACTATGCTTTTAATATCCTAAATTATAAGTGGATAATATACGAATTAAATTTTTTTATTTTATTTTTATTTTATTTTTTATTCTTTTTATTTTTTATTCTTTTATTTTTTGTTTTTTATTTTTTATTATTTTTTTAGGCGGCTGATATATATACCCCACAAAATTTAAATTTTTTTATGATTTTGAGCAAAGATATCTAGTAACTTCTTTAATCAAATTTAATATTATTATTTTTTTTTTTGATTTTACAGATTTCTAGAATCAAAATGAAAAAATTTCATAATATTTTTTTATTTTGATTTTACAGATTTGTAGAATCAAAATAAAAAAATTTCATCGAATTTGGTTAAGTGGTTGCCAAGATATCTCCACAAAGTTTTAAAAAATCTATCAAAATAGATACAAAGAAGTTGAAACTTTGAGCGAAGATAACTCGATAACTATTTAACCAAAATTCGATTAAATTTTTTTTGGTTTAATTCTACAAATCTGCAGAATTAAAAAAAAAAGTTTATGAATAGATGCCAAGATATCTTCGCTCAAAGGTTTGAAAAATTCAAAACGCCTATCAAAATAACAGCTGTGGCAAACTTTTTTAAAAATTTGAGGGACGATATCTCAGCATCCATCTAACTAAACTCGACAAACTTTTTTTGTTCTCAGCATCCATCTAACCGAATTCGACAAACTTTTTTTTTGGTTTAATTCTACAAACCTGTTAAATAAAAAGAAAAAGAAAGTTCATTAAATTTAGTTAGATAGATCTTTGTTCAAAGTTTTAAAAAAAATTTGCCGTGGCTGTTATTTTGATAGGCGGTTTGAATTTTTTCAAAACTTTGAGCGAAGATATCTCAGTATCTCTCTAACCAAATCAGATAAAACTTTTTTTGTTTTATTGTACATATTTGTAGAAACAAAAGAAGAAAAAGTTTATCGAATTTAGTTAGATAGGTACTGAGATATTTTCGCTCAAAGTTTTAAAAAATTTTGCTGCAGCTGCTATTTTGATAGGCGTTTTGAATTTTTTCAAAACTTTGAGCGAAGATATTTCAGCATTCATCTAACTAAATTTAATAAACTTTTTTTTTCTTTTGAATTTACAGATTTGTAGAATTAAAACAAAAAAAGTTTGTCGAATTTAGATGGATACTAAGATATCTTCGCTCAAAGTTTGAAAAAATTTTTCTGCAGCTGTAATTTTGATAGGCGTTTTGAAATTTTTCAAACTTTTGAACAAAAATATCTCAGCTTCCAACTAACAAAATTTAATTGGCTTTTTTCTTTTTTCTTTTGATTCTATAGATTTGTAGGATTAAAACAAAAAAAATTTTGTCGAATTTAGTTAGATGGATACTAAGATAACTTCGCTCAAAGTTTTGAAAAAAGTTTGCTGCAGTTGTAATTTTGATAGGCGTTTTGAAATTTTTCAAAGTTTTGAACAAAGAAATCTCAGCATCCAACTAACTAAATTTAATGGACTTTTTTTCTTTGATTCTACAGTTTTGTAGGATTAAACCAAAAAAAAAGTTCATTGAATTTGGTTAAGTAGTTATCGAGATATCTTTGCTCAATGTTTCAAGAACTTTTTTGTATTTATTTTGATAAATGGTTTAAATATTTTGAAACTTTGAGCGAAGATATCATAGTAACCAATTAGCCAAATTCGATGAAATTTTTTTTTTTTATTTTGATTATAAATATATGTAAAATTAAAATAATAAAAAAATTATTAAATCTTATAAGAAATTACTGAGATATCTGCTCAAAATTAGAAAAAAATTTAAATTTTGTGGGGGGTATGAATAACAAACTTGGGGGGTATATATATCAGCCGCCTTTTTTTATTCTGTTTTTTATTTTTTTATTATTATTATTTTTTATTATTATTATTATTTATTTGTTTGATTCACTGCTATATAATATTACATCACGATCACTGGCAACGGATTATGTTATATACAAAATATTTTGACCTAAATTATACTAATGTGATTATCTGAAATTTGGGAATAATGCGTGGGATCTCGTGTGTGCACATTACTTCTGATATATGTCACAAAGTAATTAAACTTGCCAAAAAAATTTTTTTCAGAATGATTAAAAAGATTTTATCGCGCTTTTCAAAATTGTATGGCTTTTTTTTTTGAACAGTGATGTAATTATGCGATTGCACTGATTTAGGTCTGGCATAATAATATATAGAATCGATATAGGACTGACCATCCTTAAACGGAACTGCCCACATTTATAAAGACGTTTCCTCTATGCCTAAAATAACAATTATTACCTTGGTTGAAATATAAAATTAACCTTCATTAAGAATTTTTCTTTCATGTCGTTATTTCGCGAAAAAAAAAAATTTCTTTAATCAAAAGATATATATACTTTAGTACATTATTATATTATTATCATATCAATCTCAAGAAGGCCCTAAAGTTACTTTTAAAGAAAGACCTGAGAAAGAAGTCTCTCATGGTTATGCGCGTGTAAAAATTTTGGCTGCCTCATTGAATCATCGCGGTATTTAATTTATTTTACGTATTAACTCTGCATTACAATTGCTTACAATGGCCTTTTCATTAGACGAATGGATTCGACATGGTTTTTATAAATTAGGAGATAATTATATTATGGGTAGTGATGGTAAGCAAATCTTCGTTAACATCTTCTATACATGTTATGTAATCTTATTCTTCTTCATAGCTTGCGGTATAGTTGAAGAAGTGAAAGACGAAAAATATGTTGTTCTTGGTCATAATTTATCAATATTTTGAATGGGAAAGTGATACGCGTTCTTCACGTCATGCACTCAAAATATTGGGAGGTCCGGATGATGGCACTTTCCGTGAAAAAATTGTCGTTCAATCTAAAAACCTTGTAGTGAAGCCTGTTAATTTGACACCTGAACAAGCTGCCACGATGTCTATTGCTGGATTGGTAAAAAAAAAAAAAACATACACATAATAAGGCCATTCAAAATTAATTAATTGCCAATCCGGATAAGATCGACATAAAATTATACGTAAGTATATGTAGAATCTAGGGATAAGTATAATAGTAATTTTATAATATACCG